CAGGAGGCACGAACAGTTAAAACAAAAGGGACAACTAGGGAGTAAGGCCTGGAGATGATTGGCCCCTCCCATAAGGCTTAAAAGAGGAGCAAAGACACATGGGCCCTTTGCAGGAAAGCAACGTTGTTAATTCTGTTCCAAGTCAGCATCTGTTTGATTCTGGACTTTGTGTGGCTTTGCCAAGTAGGTCTTTGGCAGGGTGTCAAGGGAGATAAAGGTTGGTGATTATCCCGAAGGACTTCTCCCGAAGGACTTTTTGCAACTAAGTGGGACTCAGCTGTAAAATGAACGTAATTCACAGCTGTTGCAATAAAAGAGGTTTTTGGGACTACTGGAAGCCTCGGTCACAACACATGTAGTCCTCACTTAACAGCATTCCATTCCATTCCGATGTATAGATTGTATTTATCCTAAATTGGCTAAAATACATAAAGGATCCCCAAATAGTAATTGGAAATGCAGCACTCAAATGGGAACCTTTATCACTTTTGATCAACTTGTAAAATGGCTAAAAACAATACTGGAGGGAAACTAATAATATAATTCAATATTTTTTTTTTGAAAATGAATGTACAATTTAGATTGGAAAACTTTTTTGTTAGGATTAATGGATAAAACAGTGGGAAAATCACATGGTGCTTTATTGTTATAGATGATAAGAGCAGCAGAACTTCAGTATGCTCAGTGCTAGAAAGATCTTACGATATCCATCAAAGAAGAAAGGTTAATAAAGATGTCAGAACTGGAAATGATAGACAAGTTAGTGCCCCCCCCCATGAGAGAAAAATCACCGAAGAAATTCATCTGTAATTGGAAGCTCTTTCTAGACTTTTGGTAGCAGATGGAGAAAAATCAGATTTTGCCATATGTTTATTATTGTTAAAATTTAAAAAGGGGAATTTAAAAAAAATCTTTTGGAGGGAAATGGAAATTTTTATTATAATCTTTCAATATTCTCTGTATCCTTGGAAGAAGTCATTCTTTGTATATATTTGTGTTTTTCTTTCCTCTTTTAAAATACATTTGCACAGTTCCATATCCCTATTCCCTTTTTACTCAACCATTTGTTGCGATTGTTAATGTTGTTTTTACTGTATGCTTTGTAAAATATAATAAAATTATCGAAATGAAGGAATTAAGAGAAGGCCCCTCATTGAGGCAAAGTACATTCGTGTTTAAATTTCAGGTCCATTTTAACAATCTTATGTAATCAGGCGACTGCAGCTAAGCATTCAGCAAGTAATTTCAAATTAATATCAACTTTAATTTGCTGATCCTATGAAATCCTTACTTACTCTCAGTTTTCTTTACTATTTTGGATTTCTTTAGTTCTCCTACCAGTGCCATCTTTCTTGTTAATGATCATACCCAACTTTGTAGATTTCACACCAGTTGAGCTACAAGTCATATCAACTGCAGCCAGGATGTTCACTGAGTAAAAATTATAGGCATTATATAGTGTGACAAATCAGAAGGTTATCTGGTGAGAAAAGACTGGTCCTCCTTCAAAAGCCTTTCCTTGGCTCTCGTTTCCTCGGCCTACTGCCTCCTCCGAGCCATTTTTTCCTTCCCTTTCTTTTTCTCATCTGTTCTTTGACATCTGCTTTTCTCTTGATCTTAGACTGTGGCAACTGCCTACTTAACCTGCCTCTATTATGATTTTAAGGCAATTCATCTAGTCCCTATCTGCATTTTCCTCTCTTGAGGGAACAGACATGATACTGGACGATTTTGTCATAAATCAGGAGTGTCAAACTCAATTTCATTGAGGGCCGCATCGGGGGAACCGAGGGGGAGCCGAGGAGGTTGGCCGGATGTATGTGTGGCCAGCATGATGTGACTTGTGTTGGGGGGCCTGTGGTGGCCTGAGCGCTCTGTCAGCGAAAATGGGCTCCCGAGCTCCGTTTTCGGCTGCGACGGACTCTTGCAACCTTCTCCCAGCGAAAATGGAGCTCAGGGGGGCTCCCGACCTCCGTTTTTGCTGGCAGAGGCACCGCGGGCCGGTCCTTCGCTATTTCCAAGGCAGTCCCGCGGCCCAGATCTAAGCACCCCGTGGGCTGGATCCAGCCCCCGGGCCTTGAGTTTGACACCCCTATCAAATGCAAAGGCACTGCCAATCAAAACTAGCTTTATATTTGGTATGACTTCTTGAGGACACAGCATTTGGAGAATCTAGCATTAAAATAAAGCTTGTCACAGGAAGCAGACCAAATTATTCACCCTCATTACAGAGCCGTGGAGGCGCAGTGGTTAGAATGCAGTATTGCAGGCTAATTCTGCTGACTGCCAGCAGTTCAATCCTGACCGGCTCAAGGTTGATTTAGCCTTCCATCCTTCCGAAGGTGGGTAATATGAGGATCCACATTGTTGGGGGCAACATGCTGATTCTGTAAAATGCTTAGAAAGGGCTGTAAAACACTGAAGCGGTATATAGGTCTAAGTGCTATTGCTAAGTGCTACCATTCAAACTCTGATCCAGTTATTAGAAAGGCACTGGAGATGAGATCAATTATTCTGCACAGACACTGTTGTCACAAATTCATCTCATCATCTCATTTGATATTTGAATTTGGCTGAGGTTATTCTATTCTATTCTATTCTATTCTATTCTATTCTATTCTATTCTATGACTATCATTAAGTGTTGTACCTTATGATTCTTGACGAACGTATCTTTTCTTTTATGTACACTGAGAGCGTATGCACCAAAGACACATTCCTTGTGTGTCCAATCACACTTGGCCAATAAAGAATTCTGTTCTGTTCTGTTTCTATTCTTACGACCTTTCCAACATCCCTATGGTCACGTGATCAAGATTCAGAAGTTTGGCAGCCGGCTTGTATTTATGACCACTGCTGTGTCATGGGTCATGGGATCCGCGTTTGCGACCTTCTGAACTAGCAACATCAACGGGGAAGCAAAGATTCGCTTAACAACCAGGTTACTAATTTATTAACTGCAGTGATTCACTGAACAACTGAGCCAAGAAAGGTCGCAAAATTCATCTAACAGCAGAAATGTTGGGCTCAATTGCTTGCGGTCATATGTACATCCGTATTAGGATGTACTAGTTTTCTTTATTTGCAGGGTGATGATGTGCTCGGTAGATGGCAGCATTCCCCAATGAACACACAATTCACTCTCCATCTGGGAGCAGCACTGGGCCTGTTTACATTCTGTGCTTTGGGATCCTTTGTTCCTCATATACAGGAGAGAGTAGAGTTAAAAGGCATGGGAGGTGCTACAATAATGGCCAAAATTGTGGAAACCTTTTGGGAAAAAGTGTATTTTTGAGGTTTGATGGCTAATAACACCACTTTTTTGTTTTTGGGAGTTTCAAGATAATCCTATTCCACTGCTGGAATGGCCCAGACCTTAACCCAATTGAAAATCTATGGAGCCGACTAAAGAAACTTGTTAGTCATAAGTGACCCAGCAATAAAACCCAGATAATAGAAGCCATCATTCAATCTTGGTTTCACATTATAACAAATGCATAACTAAAAGACTTGGTTCATTCCATGGGAAGACGTTGTAAGGCCGTCATTTATGCTAAAGGTTACCCAACTAAGTATTAACTGACATGGTGATAATTTTTGTATATCTTGTTTTTTCTATGGTGATCATTTTTGTATATCTCATTTTTTTCTACGTGTTTCACTTTTCTTCTTTATACTGTAACTGTTATTCTAATAGCAAATCCTTCATACAAGTTATTGCATTACATTCTTGATTAAATTATCTTTCCATTGCTATATAATTTTATGGTACTACTCCAAGAAAAAGTGGTATTAGCTAGTTTTAGAAAATACACTTTTCACAAAAGATTGTCACAATTTTGCCCACTACTGTATGTTATGTAAAGGTAAAGGTTCCCCTCGCACATATGTGCTAGTCGTTCCCGACTCTAGGGGGTGGTGCTCATCTCCGTTTCAAAGCCGAAGAGCCAGCGCTGTCTGAAGACGTCTCCGTGGTCATGTGGCCGGCATGACTCAACGCCAAAGGCACACAGAACGCTGTTACCTTCCCACCAAAGGTGGTCCCTATTTTTCTACTTGCATTTTTTACATGCTTTCGAACTGCTAGGTTGGCAGAAGCTGGGACAAGTAACAGGAGCTCACCCTGTTACGCGGCGCCAGGGATTCGAACCACTGAACGCCGACCTTTCGATCGACAAGCTCAGAGTCTTAGCCACTGAGCCACCGCGTCCCTATGTATGTTATGTAGTCCAATACTGTATTGTCAACAAAATAGAATGAATGGATAAAAAGAACAAGCAAAGTGTGGAGGTGAGTAGCTCTCTATCCCAGGTGTAATCTGCAAATAGTAGTAAAAGCCTAACTATATATATTGTCAATTTTGCTAAAGGTAAAAGTTTCCCTGTCAATCATAGCCAACTTTAGGGCATGTTGCTCATCTGTTTGTTTCATGTTGCTCATCTGTTTCTTCCTGTTTCATTCCTAACCTTGAGCCTGGTGAGATTCGAACTTGCAGTAATTGCAGGCAGCTGGTGTTACTTAACAGCACTTTAATCTGCTGCGCCACCAAGGCTTTTTGGGTGTGTTAAGTGAATTTCGTTGTATGGGTATACTGTGTATACACGTACAATGACATTAAAGTTATTATTATTATTCTCTTTTATTAAAAATGAAACTCAGTCAACTGGACATTTCAAAAAGTGTCACAAATACCATTGACTGGTGCTAATGGTTGATACGAGTTGCTGCCAGCGTCCTAGGTATCAATCAAGTACCTTCTTAAAATATATGATGTTCTGAGTAGCAGAGTTTTTTGCAGTTCCGCTGGTGTTATTGCAGGAAGCTGCAATTATTATTATTATTATTATTATTATTGTTGTTGTTGTTGTTGTTGTTGTTGTTGTTGTTGTTGCAATAAAAGAATTGTGAATCAAGGTTAACTTCCGATTACTATATCCTCACAACCATCCTCTCTCCTCCATTCCCAACCCCACTCCGCATTTCCAACAGATGTAGTCTTACGTTGGTTGTGCCAAGCAGCCGGGAGCTATAATATTGCAACTTGTCTCATTACTGTGCAGGCTTGTGAGCTCCATCATATTGACCATCACATCATTGGTATGACCTGGTAACTTGGGAAGTATGGAGAGAATCTTCTCTGCTAAGTTGTCACCGTGATGCCCGACAGCTCCTGGGGGAAAAGAAAAAAGAAAAAAAATCATCCCGATGAAAAGTAGTCACGTATCTCTCTCGTGTAGTGAAATATCTCCTCAAAATAATCTGATCTCAACTGATGGCAAAGGAACTCCATTTTAAAAATGGCCTTTGAGAAACAAATCCACTGTAACAATAAATAAGAAAAACAAAACAATAACTCTCAAAAGAAAGAATAAAAGAATTTTGAAAGTCTGGCATAGCTTCTCTTTGTTCCACTTTATATCCCAAGAAAACTGAAATGGAATTATTTTAAATTTACTACCGGGCATGGCTTGGTGGGTGTGCCTTGGTGGGCGTGGCAGGGGAAGGATACTATAAAATCTCCATTCCCATCCCACTCCAGGGGAAGGATACTGTAAAATCTCCATTCCCACCCCACTCCAGGGGAAGGATACTGTAAAATCTCCATTCCGTCCCCAATCCAGGGGAAGATTACTGCAGAATCCCTATTTCCTCCTGATCAGCTGGGACTCATGAGGCAGAAAATAGATGGGTCAGAATTTTTACTACCGGTTCTCCAAACTACTCAAAATTTCCACTACCGGTTCTCCAGAACTGGTCAGAACCTGCTGAAACCCACCTCTCATGAAGAGACTATAGAAATGGAATCTTCTTCTGCCTGTTTCATTTACTGATGAATTTAATTGATTTATTTATGAATTAGATAATGGATATTCATATTTAACTGTTTTGATAGTTTTGTGCAGAGCTTTTTTTGTACTTGATATTAACTGCATATGCCAGCTAGAGTCCAGCAGGTATCAAATAAATGTTTAGATCCAAATGTAAGCTGATATCGGCCCAGAGTTGTCTTGATAGTCATGAAATCCTAACCTGCCCTCAAATAAAATTAAAATCTTTGCAATAGTGGTGAATATTTGTAGCTCGGGTGTAGAATGAGGGTGAAGGTTTTTTCTCCGAGCTTGTGGGTTTGTTTCCAAATATTTCATTACCAAGCTAGGTAACATCTTCAGAGTTTAGGGGATGTCAGTGTCAGCGTTCTTCTGTTTATAAGGGCTTCAGGTGTTGGTGTGTCAAGTGAGGGCTTTGTGATGGGTCAAGTGTGAGTCATCAGTGAGAGTCTTGTGATAGGAAGGTTACCGTATTTTTCAGAGTATAAGACGCACCTTTTTCTCCCCCTAAAAGGGGGTGAAAATTTAGGTGCATCTTATACACCGAATGTAGCCCCGTCCACCCACTGGCCCCCACCCTTTCGCCTCTGCTTCCCAGCAGTTACCTCCTTGCAGCAAACAGCAAGAAAAAAACCCAGCTCCTTTCAGCTTCAGCACAGCCTAATTAGCACAGGTTGATTGGATCGGCCTCCCGACTCTCAGCTGATTTGCTGTCAGCTGTTTTGCGCAGGGCTCTGCTGCTTGCTGCAAAGAGGTAAATTGCTGGAGCAGATTTTTTTTTCTTCCTTGTGCTAATCAAGCTATGCTGAAAACGAAAATGAAAGTAAAGCAGGCTGTTTGCTGCAAGGAGGCAAAATTGCTCAGAGGCAGAGGCAGATTTCTTTTTCTTCCTTTTCCTCACCAAAAAAGGTAAGTGCGTCTTAATAGTCCGGTGCATCTTATACTCCGAAAAATACGGTACATCAAATCAGGGTCATTGGGAGCTGAACTGCTATTGGGGGAAGGGGTATTGCAAGGGTTGGTTGAGGGTCGGTGCTGTCTCTGGTTGGCTGTGGAGTTGATTCGGAATCTGATGGGTTCGTAGGTTGGTTGTAGGTTAATGTGTCTGTTGATGGAATTGCTTGTGGAGTGCCAGACTTCGATGAACTCACAAGCTTCGACCCTCAACCAACCCTCACAACACACCCCCTATTAGGAAATGGTTATTTGTCTAACTAGTTGGTCAGGCAATATATAAACCAACAATGTATGCTTGAAGTCAAAAAGGTATTATATTGCTTTAAGACTGTATTGCATCATCCTGTATCCTGATTGGCTAAGCTCTGTAGCCAATGTACTTAAGGGAAGTCAGGATCATGGCTTGTGTGGACACTACACCATTTGACCTGCTTATTTGCTGTAACTCTCTACCTGATCTCTCTGCATGATCACAGTTTGATCATAGCTACATGTTGCTTTCTATTATTTATTGAATGTTTTGATATTGAACTTGTTCCTGTTTGAAACTCAAAAACTGTTTTATTGTGTAATGACAACAACTGGTAAGAAGACTTTGTACTTGGAATATCTCTGAATTGATATTTTAACTATCACCTTACCTGTGTATGACTTGGATTGTTTTTGGACTTTGCTTTAACTTTTTTCTAAAAGTAAAAGACTACAACAACTCAGTGTGTTTGTATGTTGACTGTGATGGTTCACAACCACTTCCAGTCGCTTTTCATGGGTTTACTCAAAGGGTACTCTGCTCAATAACCCACATCGGTTATGAGCCAAGAATATCCTTAACACCCCCCCAACAGCAGTTCACCTCCCAATGACCCTGATTTGATGTAACCTTCCTATCACAAGACTCTCACTGATGACTCACATTTCACCCATCACAAGACCCTCGCTTGACACACCCACACCTGAAGCCCTTATAAACAGAAGAACGTCGACACCGACATCCCCTAAACTCAGCTGTTACCTAGCCTGGTAATGAAACGTTCGGAAACCAACCCACAAGCTCAGACAACGAACCTTCACCCTCATTAAAATCTTTATAGAGCTGTGATGGCGAACCTATGGCAGACGTTCCACAGGTGGCACACAGAGCCATATCTGTGAGCACGCAAGCGTTGCCCTAGCTCAGCTCCACCGTGCATGTGCACGCCAGCCGATTTTTGGGCCTTCCGGGCCCACCGGAAATCGGGAAATGGGCCATTTCCAGCCTCTAGAGGGCCTCGGGACGGGGGGGAGGCCATTTTTGCCCTCCCCAGGCTCCTAGAAAGCCTCTGGAGCCTGGAGAGGATGAAAAACAGGCCTACCTGGCCCACCGTGTCATCACGTGCCAAAAGCAGGGGGAGCGTGGGGGGGTCGCACGCACATGCACAGCGGGGTAGGGTGCATTGAATTATGGGTTTAGGCACGTGCGAGAGACCACCCCCCCCGCGTTCCCCCCGCTTTTGGCACGCGACGGCAAAAAGATTAGCCATCATAGTTATAGACTCTATAACTATGATGGCTAACCTTTTTGCCGTCGCGTGCCAAAAGCGGGGGAGTGCGGTGGGGTCACACGCACGCGTGCCCACATCCATAATTCTAGGCCCGTTTTTCGCTTGATCCATGCTCCAGAGCCTTTCTAGGAGCCTCCACAGAGGCCCTCCGGAGGCCGGAAACAGTGTGTTTCCTGACTTCTGGTGGGCCCAGAAGGCTCAAAAATCAGCTGGCCAGCACACGCATGGGTGCCGGAGCTGAGCTCGTGTGCCCACCGATATGGCTCCACGTGCCACCTGTGGCACCCGTGCCATAGGTTCGCCATCACAGTTATAGAGGTTTCAGCAGCAGAGTTGGTTAAATGTGGCAATACGCGTATGTTTTCCTTGGTATGGTCCTGAAGAGATGAAATATTTTCAACATTCTTCTCCTCTTTTAACCTTCATGAGTAGCATACCTAAGGGAACATTTCTCTGTTCTTCTCTCAGGTTTTAAGTGCTGCTGGAAGCAATTAGTTCATGCCATAAGAATGGGAAAGAAAAAAGAAATGCAAAGGACAAAAGCAAAGGCAAAATCCTATAAAAGAAGGAAGCAAAAGACGACAATCATCTACCAAACAAGTTTTATTGAATTGGGATTCTCAAACCACTTAAAAACAACAATTACTAAAACTTACTTCCTCAGTATAGCATGAAATGGAACAAAATTTATGAATGAAACTACATTTGACATAGTAGTTCGACAATGCTTGTTAAAATTACTGGCAGTAATCTCCATTTTTAAGATGCAACTATACTGCCAGACTCCTCATCTAGACAAAAGCAATGTTTTATCAAGGGAACAAGCCGGATTTAGGAAAGATAGTTCTATTAAAGATCAAGCAAATGTTTTATATCACTTGATAGAGAAATACACCCAGGCTTTAAAATTCCATTTCGTGTAGATTCCAGAGAGAATCTATGAAAGAAAGAATGATTATCACTGACAAGAGATCCTTACTATTGATAGATAAGTTTTATAGTAACCCTGGTATGAAAGTTAGATATGATTCCTGTGGCCAGCTAAGTAATCCAATTTCTGTAATGCAGGAAGGAGAATTCCTTGCACTATTTTGATTTAATGTCTATAAAATTACAGAGATATGCATATTATTTTTTTTAAAAAAGAGTTCCATTTCCCTGAGTTCTCTAAGAGACATATTTTGGCATTTCTGCACAATGATTTATTCATTCTATCATGGTCAATTATTGGTTTGAGAAGAGGATTAAAAACCATGACTAATACTACAAAAATTGCTAATGCAGTAAATTATCAAAACTTAAAAGTTCTGACAAAAATATCTGCTAATGTCTCACCAGAGGATTTAAATAGTATTTACAGATGGGAGGGTAAATGTTGGTTTAGATGAAGAGCAATGATTATTTTAACCTTTTTCTATACTAAGGGAAGATATTCATTCCTTACTTCACTCAAATTATTTGAGGCAAGACTAAGGACTGGTTATTATACGATAGGCAAATAAGTTCCAACTTTTGTTTTCAGAGAGGGAGCAATCAAAATGGTTGAGACCATTTTGCAAGCTACCATATTTATTTATTTAAAAAATAAACATACAGCACACGCAACTTAAATCAGTAACTCCGGGCAATTACAAGGAACTCCCAAACCAATTAAAAATAAAACAACAGAAATGTACAATTATTATTATTATTGTTATTATATTGATTGATTGATTGATTGATTGATTGATTGATTGAATTTATATACCGCCCTACTCCCGAAGCACTCAGGGCGGTGAACAGCCAAAAGATAAAATACATATAATACAAATGTTAAAAAATCATTAAAATACAATTAAATAATTTGGCCCAGGAAACAAAATTTAAAAACCCCAATTTTATAAGACAAATTTAAAATTTAAAAAATTTAAAAAACAATTTAAAAAAGAGGTTAGGCCAGGCCGGCCTGCTGGAATAGGAATGTTTTAAGGGCACGGCGGAATTAAAGGCAATCATGATAGAATGCAAGAGCTAAGACCCATCACAAACTATTCACAGCCCCCAAAACATTCGTATCAGACTCCACTAGGAGCCCGGATCTAATGTTTGAGGCTCATGCCCTTTTGGAAGGCCAACAGGGTCAGAGATATCTAAGTATATTTCTAATGGAGTCATAAGACTGGATGCCCAGATATAGATACAATTTTTATTACTAGTTGGAAATGATGTTTAGTACAACCTGACTGGTTGCCCTGTTAAAGAGAATATCAAATGCCCAAAATGACACAGACAACTTTGATGCCTAAGGTGGAACTAGCATTCATAGTCTTCTAATTTTCTAATCTGGTGCCTTCATCACTAGAACTTGGATGTTTATCGTTGTTGGGATACAGAAAACTAGAAACATTCTGAAACAAAAGATTCTGGATATAAAGTAGCAGCAACTGATGAATTCAGATCCAAGATAATTGAACTTGTCAAAGTACTCCTGTAGTAGAATAGAATAGAATAGAATTCTTTATTGGCCAAGTGTGATTGGACACACAAGGAATTTGTCTTTGGTGCATACCCTCTCAGTGTACATAAAAGATGCATTCGTCAAGAATCATAAGGTACAACACTTAATGATAGTCATAGGGTACAAATAAGCAATCAGGAAACTATTAATATCAATATAAATTATAAGAATACCAGCAACAAAGTTACAGTCAGACAGTCATAAGTGGAAGGAGATAGATGGTGCGAACGATGAGAAGATTAATAGTAGTGCAGACTTAGTAAATAGTTTGACAGTGTTGTGGGAATTAGTTGTTTAGCAGAGTGATGGCATTCGGGGAAAAACTGTCCTTGTGTCTAGTTGTTCTGGTGTGCAGTGCCCTATAGTGTTGTTTTGAGGGTAGAAGTTGAAACAGTTTATGTCCAGGATGTGAGGGGTCTGTAGATATTTTCACAGCCCTCTTTTTGACTTGTGCTGTATACAGGTCCTCAATGGAAGGCAGGTTGTTTTTTCTGCAATTCTAACTATCCGTTGAAGTCTGTGTCTGTCTTGTTGGGTTGCAGAACCAAACCAGACAGTTATGGAAGTGCAGATGACAGACTCAATAATTCCTCTATAGACCTGGATCAGCAGCTCCTTGGGCAGTTTGAGCTTCCTGAGTTGGCGCAGAAAGAACAATCTTTGTACCTTTTCAGCTGACAACTGCCAGAAATCAGAGCATTTTCTTTAGGCCAGTTTGACGTATTAGTTTCAGCTGCTATTGGAAATAGATGTCATAAGAATATTTCTGCCTTTGTGGGTCTCATGTAAGGGTAGTTCTAGTCCATGTTTTACTATTCTTCAGCCTCCTTAATCACACTTCTAAAAATAACAATAGCACTTAAGACTTTACACACTCTGTAAGCGGTTTACAGAATCAGCATATTACCCCCAACAATCTGGGTCCTCATTTTAATGACCTTGGATGGATGGAAGGCTGAGTCACTCTTGAGTCAGGATTGAACTCCTGGCAGAGTTAGCCTGCAGTACAGGTAGTCCTCAACTTACAACAGTTCATTTAGTGACCGTTCGAAGTTACAACACACTGAAAATAATGACTTATGACCATTTCTCACACTTATGACCGTTGCAGCATCCCAATGGTCACGTGATTTACATTTGGATGCTTGATAACTGACTCATTTATGATGGTTGAATGGTCACTAAATGAACTGTTGTTAAGTTGAGGACTACCTGTATTGTCTGGGATGCTACACATCCTCTCCTCCATGAGTGGTTTTCTTTGTTACCTTCTGCAAAGAGGCTTCACAGTAGCAGAACCACTAGATTCTGTTAATAGCTTTATACCATATAGTATCAACCTTGTTAACTCTCAAGACCTTTTTCTGCTATGTATTCTAAATGGTCTGTGATTAATACCATCCCAGGGGTTCACCAATTATTTAGTCTATCCTAAATAAAGCAGATTGTCCCGTTCATGATGAATAAAGATCAGCTCCTTGCTATATGACAGCCACCTAGAAGGGGGAAAAAATACTTTGCTTTCATCCCTATTTATAGTAATTCTCTCTTGACTATTTATGTTTCATATTTCCCATTAGCATTTTCTCTAGACAAAGGGATGGGGAAGAAGCCTGACATGGATTTTCACAGGAGATACTGGAATATATGATATATGCACAATAGCGTTTCTCACCCCACCCCCCATAAATGCAGGATGAAGGGGCTGCATTTATGATGGGGATAATACACAAACCAGCCCACAGACACCAGAAACATCAAAATGGATCCTCATCCATATTTCTTTTCCACAGCCAGTGCACCTCAATCTTTTAGCCTTTCCTTTATTCAGAGAGAGAGAAAAGAAGTCACCTCTTCACCTGAGCCTACAAATTAAGTAGCTTCATCATGAGAAATTTTAACTGAGTTGAATATGACATCCAGTAATTTCTCCATTCAAAATCAGGTGAAAGAAAAATAATATGTTTTAGGTTCCCCGGGGAAGCCATCCAAGAGTTGTTTTGATAGTTAACATTCAAAAATATGACTCTTAGAATCTGGTTTCTTCTTCAGAGGTGCTTACAAAACCTACTCAGGAATAATTGCGGCATTTTCTGCTAATACTGTGTGTCTCCAGTCTCCAAAACCTTCAAAAAGCAACTCTGCAATTAATCAAACACCTGATTTGTTATTAATGCTCATTTTTAGACAAAACTCTTCCTAAATGCAGCTTCTTTGTAAGAATTGCATTTTTAAGCTCAGTCAAAAGTAATCTTTATTTTGGGTTTTTTTGGTGCTTGGAGCTGCAAATAGTCTCTTCTAATTTTTATTTGTAGTTCATCTCTGGCACTTGAAGTAGCTAAGTAAACATATAGGCCTCTTTTCACTTACTCATTATTCCTAGTGTTGAAATGCAACACTTTTTAACCTTTCTTATGGAAAATTTCAGTTTCTTCCTTTAAGAATTTGTCCCTTTCCTTTTTCGCAGATAAGTTTGGGAACTATACAAATGTAAATTGTAACTGAATGTATATAAAATCTGCACTTGTTCTAAGATCAATGAAGCTTCCTCTTAGCACTTTTGCTTCCTATAGAATAGGGGTGTCAAACTTGATTTCATTGAGGGCCGCATCAGGGTTATGTTTCACCTCAGGGGAGCCGGGTGGGAGTGGCCAGGGTGAGCATGGCCAGCTCGACATCACTTGTGTTGGGGGCGGCTGTGATGGCCCAAACACTCTGCCAGCAAAAATGGAGCTTGGGAGGGCTGCATGAGGCCCTCCCAAGCTCCGTTTTCGCTTGCAGAGTCACCGCTGGCCGGTCCTTCACTGTTTCCAGGGTAGTCCCGTGAACGAGATCGAAGCATCCTGTGGGCCGCATCTGGCCTGGTTTGACACTCCTGCTATAGAAAACCCCATGGTTAATCAGAAAAACAGTACACCTTCAACTATACATTGCATTACAATCCCCTCTCAGTAAAAGCAGCTTTAAATCTGGAATTAAAAGCTTGATTATAACATTTCACTTTAATTTCAGGGTGCCTCTTAAAATCTAACAATACAGTTCACAGCTATGCTTTTGATCCAGTGGATGAAAAAAAGGGAATGCAATGGTCTGAAATGGATGGAGATTCCATTAATTCCTTCCAATGATCAGAAGAAAGACAGTATCGTATGTCGTTTCTTGTTATCAATTGGTTGACAGTTCTATTGTTACCGGGTTCTTCAGTTATTGTTGTCATCATCTATGTTGTGACGATTTGCTAGTGACTTTATCAGGGATATTTAGAAGTAACTGCGACCAACCTTGGCAACTTTAAGCCTGGCGGACTTCAACTCCCAGAATTCAAAGCAAAGCTGGCTGGGGAATTCTGGGAGTTGAAGTCCTCCAGGCTTAAAGTTGCCAAGGTTGGAGACCCCTGTTTGAGCTTGAGAAGCAAGGTGATGGCACTCAATCTGAGACGCCATTAATTTTTATTTTTATTTTTTGTCCTTTTTTTCCCCCTCCCCTCTTTTCTCTCCCTAGTAACAGCCGGCGCCGCCATGATAGTGAAGAAGGAGAGAGCCACAGGAGGCATAAACATAAAAAGTCAAAAAAGAGCAAAGAAGGAAAAGAAATGGGTGGCGGCGAACCTGCCTCCGAACAGGAAAACACTGAAGCTGCCCCTGCAGAATAGGCATGCGATATTTTTGCCTACTTGCTTATATTAATGCCAGAAATAGATTGCTCTAAATCTAATTATTTTTCTGGGTCTTAAAATGTTGCTCTTAATCTTGTTCTGTTAGTAGAAAAGCATACGTTTAATTTGGGTTTTTGAAAATAAAAGAGTGAATTTTTTCATGTTAAAAAGCAGGCCGTTTCGTCTTTATGCCATTGGGACGGTGAAGACGTTGCCGAAAAGTTGCGTTTGGTCACTGAGATTGCTTGCATTTAATCCAAGATTCATCAAAGTGGAAAGTACAGAAGTAATACAGAGGCTTTCACACATGGCAGTTTCACACTATTTTCTGAAGGATGAACCAGTGTTTCATTTAGCCCTTTAGATAAGTAAATACGTTTTAAATAAAAAGTTAGCATATCTTGGCTAGAAATCCATAATGTGTCAAAAGTCTCCAGGTGTAATATGTCTCCTGTATTTGATCATTCAGTTGTGGGTAGTTCATTGTAGATAAACCAGGCACTTTCTGGCTTTATTCTTTGCTTATACTGCTCCTTACCATTGCCACTAGGATGCTGGTTTAGAAGAGCCCAACCCAAAATGGAAGGACAAACACTGAGTAAAATAAAACGCTCAGATGAAATGGTTGATTTCATGAATTAGAAAATTTCATGCATGCAAAATTGAGTATTTTTGTCCTCTTTTTTAATTAAATTAATCTGGCTTTACAAATTACAATTAATTTAATAGTAGAAATAAAATACACGATTATAATATATTGGAAAGAAAAAAAAATGTCTTAAAAAAAGACTGCTTTTACTGAGCACAAAAAGGGAAATTAATAGATTCATCAGCCAGCCTTCTACGTCTTGCATAGATGCTGTCAAGCGTAATCATTAGAAAACTGTTTCTGTTTCTGAAATCACTTTCAAATTAGGTAAAGTTGTTTCCTTCTTTATCTAAAGAGCAGGTGAAACAGTTATAAAAACACCAGGTTGAAACATATTCACAATAAGTTGTGTACCTTGATTGATACCAGTAGCTTTCCATAGTTTTAAAGAGAGCATGTGTTTTCTCCCCCAAACATGTACTATGGAGCATTTTAAGACACTTCTACTTACATAATGCACATCGATACTTTGCTACCAAAAAAAAAGTACACGGATTTATTTGTTTCACAGATTTATAAAAAGGTGCCAGGCCAGGATACAATAGTGAGAGTAAGTTTCCCCTTCAGTTCTTTTAGCATCCTTGCCAAAGAGGCATGCGCCATTCCTGAGATATTCCTGCCGTTTACTGCAAGGAGGATGTCACCACACCTGGAAGGGGAAGGGAGGGAGCAAATAAAACTTAAGTTAGGCTCATCTGCAATTCCAAGACAGTTTTCTTTATTTTGCAAATGTCTATGGAGCTTCTCAGTCATCCAGGTCATGGTTGTCCCAAAGGTGCTTTTTCAAGAGGCAACGACTTTCTGGGGTTTTTTTTGAGAGCGCCGAAGGAGCTTCTTGGATGAGAAGCGAAACGTCTTCAAAGAAAAAACCGGAAAGTCCAGTTGCCTCTTGCAAAAAGCACCTTTGGGGTGATTATTTTGCAAATGTTTGGTGTTCGGAATTGCCAAAGTTCTCATATTTATTAAGGAGCTTTCCGAAGAGTATTTAATCAAACCTGATCACCTCAGATCTGCATCAGAACCCAACGCAAGAATCACTTCAGATGTTCTTTTATTGCACCGTATAAAATTGAACCTATTTTGATGCATAATCATTCCTTGGGGAGTGTTCCTGTTGAAGCCATTGGTGAGTCACTTTCATTTCCTATAAGTGGAAACACTGTCGCCGTACGATATTTTGGTATTTCAGGATATTTGGCGTCCTCAGAATGTGTTTCCTACTTCGCCCAAGTGAGGCAAAGAGATTGTGAAGATATGCCTGAACCTTGGACTCAACGTGTTAACATTCACTAGATGCAAAATTAGCTCACCCATTTATTTCATTTATAAACTGTCACATCTTCAGATTCTTGGCAGTTCAAACAACAATTATAGAACAACCTCTTCAACAGTAAGATAAAGTTTATATTAAAATTGTGTAACGCACTGCTGACAATGTCGCAGTTCTCATCACTTAACTGGCTTCTGGAAGACTTAACAACAATGCTAATTCTGCTTTCAAGGGGAGGCATCACCCCAGATGAACAATGCCCCTGAGCATCAGTGCCCCACACTTCCTGGGACACTATTTTGCTCGCAGGTGCATGTATTATCATGATGTGCCTCACTATCAATTGTATCAATTGTCTGGTTTAACACAATTATGTGTGTCGGGGATCAAAAGCTCAGGTAAGCAGGATGAGTTTATAGTAAAACAAGTTGTTACAAAATAATTCAATTGCTCTGGATAAAATGTTAACTCATCTAATTCTAAAATCAGCATTCACTTTCTTGTGTCTATTTCTGTAGCCTAGATAAAAGAGCTATAGCAATGATTCTCTTTTGGGTAGGAGATACACTTTCCATCCATTCCTTGTTTGGTGCAAAACATTAAACATTTGCAAAGTAAGTGGTATTAAGTAGGATCTCTTATTCAGATTCATTTTCGACTGTGAGAACTATAATCAAAGAAGGCAGTTGCCATAGGTCAGGGGTCGGCAACCTTAAAGCCACAAAGGCCTGTTCAATTGTGGAGCCAACCGGAAGTCCGGATCCCCCCACCATAGTGTCTCCTAGCGCAGCATCCTTTTTCCTCTGCTGACCGGAAGTCTGGTTTCCCCAGTATAGAGTCTCCACCTAGCGCGGCGACGTCCTTTTTCCTCTACCTATCCTAACTGAAAGCCCTATCAATTGTGGAGCTGACTGGCGACAAGGAGCCGTAGCAGAGGGATGAAAGAGCCACATGCGGCTCCAGAGCCGCAGGTTGCCGACCCCTGGCATAGGTAGCTTTAAATCCGATCACAAATTTTGCAGTGAATGAAACACGTTCATAGATTATTCCCTTAGAAATGGTGCAGATAGTAAGGGAAGGGTCCTTGGAAAACAATAGTGCTTACATCCACAAGTAAAAATGGGGAACATTTTTGTTAACAATCCTGGAAAAAGGTTTTCAACATAGACAGTACAGAGCAAGATGCTTCATGGGCTTAATTTGATCAAACGCAACCTTAGAGAGATGACAAAATTTGCTTTTAATCAGTATGTATTTATTACCTGATTCTTCCATCATTATATGCTGGAGTCCCTTCCACAATGGATTTGATAAAGAACGGTCTGTTTCCACTGTTTTCTTCATAACCTCCCACTATACTGAAGCCAAGACTTCCTGCTGTATTTCTTCGCAACACAATTTCTTTATAGCTGTACAAAGACCTACAAAAAAAAAGCATTCCATTTAAGTCATATTTCTACCTTAAAGTTCTAGAACCGTGATGGTGAACCTATGGCATGCCTGCCACAAGTGGCACGCGTAGCCATATCAGTGGGCACGTGAGCTCACCTCAGACACACGTGGGCCCACCAGAAGTAGGGAAACAGGTTGTTTCCTGCCTCCGGAGGGCCTGGGGCGGGGGGAGGCCCGTTTTTCTCTCTCACCTGGCTCCAGAGCTTTTCTAGGAGTCTGGGGAGGGCGAAAACAGCCTTCCCCACCCCACCCCCCCGGAGACCCTCCAGAGGCCAGAAACGGCCTGTTTGCCAACTTCCGGTGGGACTGGAAGGCCCATTTTTTGCTGTCCCCAGCCTCCAGAGCCTCTCTAGGAATCTGGGGAGGGCAAAAATGGCCTTCCCCACCCCCTACCCCCGGAGGTCCTCTGGAGGCCGAAAACGGCCTGTTTGCCAATTTATGGTCCCACTGGAAGTTGGCAAACAGGCCATTTCTGGCCTCTGGAAGGGAGGGTAGTCTGTTTTTGCCCTCCCCAGACTCCTAGAGAGGCTCTGGAGCCAGGTGAGAGAGAAAAACAGGCCTACGGGGCCATTGCGTGCCAGGAGCAGGGGAGGGGGAGTCGTGCACGCATGCGCGGTGGCAGGGCTCATAGAATTATGGGTGTGGGCACATACGCACGTGCCCCCCCTGCCCCCCCCTCCTGGCACGCGATGGCAAAAAGGTTAGCCATCACTGTTCTAGAATGTTCATTACTTACATTTTGCTTATTTGCTTCTTAGCCATAGCAGACTTTAAATGATTTGCAGTTCGGATTAAGATCCATTTAGTAGTGCTGTTCATAGGCTTACGGGTGGTCCTCAATTTAACGACAGTTATGGATCCTGGAATTTCTGTCGTACATCAGGAAGGTTGTAAGTTGCAGCATCCATCTGTCTGACCCATTTCTTGTGGCAGTCACTAAGTGAACCCCCTGCCTCCCGTGGGCTCTTTTTGCCAGAAACTTTGCCAGCAAAAAAGTAATAATAAATTGCAGTCACATGACCGCAGGATGCTGCAAACATCCGAAAATATGGGCCATTTGCTGAACGGTCACAATGCAATACATCGGCACAAGGGAGTCCAGCTATCAGAGCTTTGTATCCAGGTCATAAATACCTTTGGTGGATGTCGTAATTTCAAAGGGTCGCTAAGCAACCCATTGTAAACCAAATATTACTTGTAATTCAGCATTCTACGTACCCAAAAGCTTGCAGTATTGCATTCTCTGTTGTAATTTCTATTTCTATCTTTTAAAAGTAGCAGCACTCCGTGCTTTGCCGTTAAATTGGAGTCATTTAAAAACAAAAAAACACAGTTTTCTTTTTTTAAGGCAACAGACTTTTGCTCTGTTCTGCAGGGTTTTTATAGTACTGTAGATTAGGCCCTTGAGAACTAGAAATATTCACCTGCTGGCAGAATATATAAATGTATAATGTTTGTATAATACATTGGCTGGCTTCTAATGTGAAAAGCAGGTGCCTGTTGGCTCTTTTTCATGCCTCTAGTTTTATTCGTTTACCATCTGTGTGGGGTTTTCAGCATTCTGAATTCCACTTTTCATACAGTCGCAAATGGGTTTCAGCAGGTTCTGACCAGTTCTGGAGAACCAGTAGCGGAAATTTCGAGTAGTTCGGAGAACCGGTAGTAAAAATTCTAACTGGCCCCGCCCCCATCTATTCTCTGCCCCCCAAGTCCCAGTTGATCGGGAAGAAATGGGGATTTTGCAGTATCCTTCCCCTGGAGTAGGGTGGGAATGGAGATTTTGCAGTATCCTTCCCCTGGAGTGGGGTGGGAATGGAGATTTTGCAGTATCCTTCCCCTGGAGTGGGGAGAGAATGGAGATTTTACAGAATCCTTCCCCTAGAGTGGGGTGGGAATGGAGATTTTACAGTATCCTTCCCCTGCCATGCCCACCAAGCCACGCCCACCAAGCCATGCCATGCCACGCCCACCATACCACGCCCACAGAACCGGTAGTAAAAAAAAATTGAAATCCACCACTGCACCAGATTTACCAAGGTCAGGATCCAATGTCAGGAATTCACTATTATTGATAGCTATTATTGGTAGTAGGAAGTCACAAGATTGTGCCTAATCACAAGACATGTGTTGACTTCTAGAACTTAATAGTATTTTATAAACAACTGTATAGTTTAATTTACTAACATTGGAGACTATCAAACTTTTGAGAGGCAATCCGTGCGCGATAATCTAACAATTCTACAATTCTATGCCTCTTGAGTATTGGGGCTTTTGAGTATAGGGGCTTTTGAGTATAGGGGCTTAACCTTAAGAGTGAGGAGAAGAAACAACTGTATTTATTAGACTACTATGTCACCAGACTAGTCCAGACCCCTTGCTTACAACAGTAAAACAGAAAAAAAAAATTAAAACTCTACAATGAAATGTAAACAACACCAAGCCATTAAATGCACCCACCCCTCATTTCTAAATGCGCTCTGAAGAATTCAGTTTTAACCAACTTTGGAAAGGGAACAAAGCAGACAAATGTTTCCTGGCTTCAGCCCTCTCCCACCTCACAAAAAAGAAGAGGTGTGTGTGTGTGTGTGTGTGTGTGTGTGTGTGTGTGTGTGTGTGGAGAGAGAGAGAGAGAGAGAGAGAGAGAGGGAGGGAGGGAGGGAGGGAGGGAGAGAGGGAAAGAGAGGGAAGGAAAAACGAAGAAAGAGAGGGAGGGAAAGGAACAGAGGGAGGGAGAGAAAGAGAGAGAAACAGAGAGAGAAACGGAGCAGAGGGAAAGAGAGAGGGAGGGATGGAAAGAGAAAGAGGGAGGAAAAGAGAGAAACAGAGTGAGGGAGAGAAAGAGAGAGAGAGAGAGAAACAGATAGGGAGAGAGAGGGAAAGAGGGATGGAAAGAGAGAGAGAGAGAGAGAGAAAGCGAGGAACAGAGGGGGCAGAGGGAAAGAGGGAAACAGAAAAACAAGGAGAGGGAAGGAGGGAGGGAAAGAGAAAGAGAGAAAGAGACAGAGGGAGGGAAAGAGAAATGCAGAGGGAGGGAGGGAGGAAAAGAGAGAGAGTGAGGGAAAGAGAGAGAAACAGAGAGAGAGGGAGGGACAGAGAGAGAAAGAGAGGGAGGGAAAGAAACGCAGAGAGATAGGGAGGGAGGGAGGGAAAGAGAGAAAGAGAGAGAAACAGAGATGGGGTGAGGTGAGGGAAAGAGTGGGAGGGAAAGAGAGAAACGCAGAGAGAGGAGGGAGGGAAGGAAAGAGAAAGAGAGAAGGGGAGGGAGGAAAAGAGAGAGAAACAGAGGGGGCAGAGGGAAAGAGAGAGGGAAAGAGAAAAACGAGAGGGAGGGAGGGAAAGAAAGAAAGAGAGAAAGAGAGAGACTGAGGGAAAGAGAAATGGAAAGAGGGAGGGAGGGAAAACGAGAGAGGGAGGGAAAGAGAGAGAGGGAAAGAGAAACAGAGAGAGAGGGAGAGAGGGAAAGAGAGAGGGAGGGAAAGAAAGAGAGTGAGGGAAAGAGAGAGAAACAGAGAGAGAGGGAAAGAGAGAGAAAGAGAGAGAGGGAGGGAAAGAGAGAGAGAGGGAGGGAAAGAGAGAGGGAAAGCAAGAGAAACAGAGAGAGAGGGAAAGAGAAAGAGGGAGGAAAAGAGAGAGGGAGGGAAAGAGAGACAGAGGGAGGGAAAGAGAGAGGGAAAGCGAGAGAAACAGAGAGAGAGGGAGAGAGGGAAAGAGAGAAAGAGAGGGAGGAAAAGAGAGAGAGGGAGGGAAAGAGAGAGAGAGAGAAAGAGAAGGAGGTGTACGCAAGTGCAACTGTTATATTTTCTATAAATTAAGGGAAGAGAAAAACCGATAGGATTGGGACTCACTTCCATTTTGGCCCCAGGGTAATGAAAAGTGCAAAAAAGACCACAGCCGGGTCTCTCTGAAAACTTAAGACATCTTAAGAGCAGTGACACACCCAAAGCTCCTGTGCGTGTGTTTTGGAGATGGCAAAAAGTCTAGCTCCTTTAATGACTGGGACTCACTTGGCTAATGCTTCTAGGCCTTCAAGGCTTCAAAGCAGAAGACTAAGCCATTCCATCGAGATGGAATGTCTCGTTCGGTCTTTAGTGAGTCATTGTTTAGATGTTCTTGTAGGCTGTTGCATAAGTGAAGTACTCCATGTTCTCCCCTCTAGCATGGATAAAATAAATGTTCTGCTAAGGAACATTCTTGTCAGTGTTCATGCTGGAGATTGTATCTTGCTTCACTGAGTCCTGGGCGGGAGAAATAGGTTAAGTAGAGAAAACAATGAAAAGAATCCCTTATTCTGAAAAGACCCAGGCAGGCATAATATAATATAATGTAATGTAATGTAATGTAATGTAATGTAATGTAATGTAATGTAATGGTGTAGTGTAGTGTAGTGTAGTGTAGTGTAGTGTAGTGTAGTGTAGTGTAATCAAGGCTATGGTTTTCCCAGTTGCAATTTATGGCTGTGAAAGTTGGACCATAAGGAAGGCTGAGCACCAAAGAATTGAGGCCTTTGAACTCTGGTGCTGGAGAAGACTCCCGCGAGTCCCTTGGACTGCTCAACCGGTCGGTCCTAGAGGAGATCAACCCTGATTGCTCTTTAGAAGGCCAGATCCTGAAGATGAAACTCAAATGCGTTGGCCACCTAATGAGAAGGAAGGACTCCCTGGAGAAGAGCCTAATGCTGGGAAAGATTGAGGGCAAAAGAAAAAGGGGACGGCAGAGAACGAGGTGGCTGGATGGAGTCACTGAAGCAGTTGGCATGAGCTTAAATAGACTCCAGGGGATGGTAGATGACAGGAAGGCCTGGAGGAACGTTGTCCATGGGGTCGCGATGGGTCGGACATGACTTCTCAACTAACAACAACAAAGTATAGTGCAGTGTAGTGTAGTTAAGGCTATGGTTTTCCCAGTTGCAATGTATGGCTGTGAAAGTTGGACCATAAGGAAGGCTGAGCACCAAAGAATTGAGGCCTTT